CTTTCGCTCAAAAACGCACAACACCCAAAAAACGTCTAATAATCGCGGCCATCGCGGTATTAGATCGAAGCACCGCGACGGTTCCCGAAATAATTAATCGCCACGCCAACATACCACCGGGACCACTGTCGAGCGTCTTGGTCGATGACCAACCAACGTTGTGCAGCAGCCGTCATTTTCGCTACAGTCGCCTCCACAACAACCCCTCGCCAGCAGGTACGTTCTTCTGCCGTGTTTTGCGTACCTGAAAATTACACCGTCAAATACTGTCGCGTTTTCAACTTCAGGAAAAACAACTCACTGACCAAGAACTTCGGAGCAGTCGCCGCAAACCACCAAAATCTCGAACGACGACGACGACGACGATGACGACGAACAAAGCAACGAACGATTTAGCTGAAAACACTAAAGAATATCCGCTCAAAAACAGCGTTATCGATCGCTTACCGTAAGCACTGATGCTGTAGATAGTGCCGCTCGACGATGGCTGCAGACTGCAGACTCTTCATCTCACCTTGCATGAGGTACATTGCGTTTTTACGTTGTTGTTTCGCTTAGCATAGCCGCTGGCCATTTTGTGCCGATGATTGACAACGTCCAAAACTACAGGTAAAATCCTTTGGCACTTTAAAGTCGCACTCTACCTTGAAAGTCAATGCAAGATGGCGCTGAGCTGTGTAATCACGTTATAGAGTCATTGAACTCAATAGCTAGTCACGTGAATCAGGTCGGATAAATGGCGATCAAAGCCCTACAGAACAGTCAAATTCTTTGCCATTGCGGAGGTGACAAAATTCGGCAGGCATTTTGGTTTTCGACGTCATGCACATAGACCAAGGCCGAATAAAGCAAAACTTTCGAGGTGCAAAACCTTCATAGTACGTACATGTGACCAGGAAGCTACTACAGAAACTGCAGTGAAGACTTCCAACGTTTAACATGGTAAACTAGCGTTTTTAGAACAATGGGGCAACGAATTTTGTCTTCTAAACGGTTTCACAAACAAATGGTTAACCTCTGGCTTCAGAGGTGTTCAATAAGGGAAAAATCACAAGTACTTTTAAGCATAGGATTAATGGTTTAAAGTGTGGCCATACATTATTGACGGAAAGCCAAGTGCATAACGAAAGCACGATCTTCTGCCGGAACATTTAATCTGCGTTGTTTCAAGGGTTGCGGGGAAGCTTGAAATAGCAAGCAGAAAAATCGTTAGTGAGGAATATTGTACACTTGTACAACAGTAGGTTTCTTCTGTTTTAGCTGCATACTTAACGACATCATTTCTGTCATTATCGTTACTTTACACCAAACCATTCTGTTTATTATTCAATACCGAGCAATAAGCAAGTCATGCAGATGAAGACCACAAAATTAGTGACTAATAAATAACTGCATCTGGAGCTGACGCTTAACTATTAATTTTAAAGCTGTAGCTTAAAGTTTAAAGTAACTGCAATTATTTTCCATAGTCAGCAAGCATATACCCAAG